ACAGCTCCCTGATGTTCTGTTAATTTATTTTCAGTCTTTTTTCTCTATGTTTCATATGGTTGGTTTCTGTTGCTGTGACTTCAAGTCCACTAATCTTTTCTTCTGCTATGTGTAATCTGTTATTCATCCCACCCAATGTATTTCATATCTCAGACATTGATTTTTCAATCTCTAGAAGTTCAGTTTAGACTTCTTAGAGCTTCCATATTTCTTCTTAGCATGCTTACATTTTCTTCTACCATCTTGAATAAATGAAATATACTCATAAGAACTGTTTTAATGTTCTTGATGACTAATTTTACCATCTATAACAATTCTAGGTTGGTTTCGATTGATTGATTTTTCTCTTCATTGTGGGTTGTATTTTCCTGCTTCTTTGCATGTCGGGTAATTTTTGACTAAATACCAGACGTTGTGAATGTTACCTAATTGGTGCTGGGCATTCCTACATTATTTTAAACGTTCTTTAGCTTTGTCTTGGGGTGCAGTTAAATTACCTGCGAATAGCTTGACCCTTTTGAGACTTGCTTTAAAACTTTGTTACATGGGACCAGAACAGTCTTTAGTCTAAAGCAAATTTGCCCCTTGATTCCAAATACTGTTTATGTTGTTAATGATTACAATATGATGACAAAATATCCATGTCCCACACTATTCCTTACTAAGTCTCCCTTCAACAACTGTATTTGAGTAGAACCGTTGACTGCCTCACCTCAATCTCCTGTGTATTCACAAGGCAAAGTTCCCCAAGGTTTTAACAAATGCCCAATGTTGCTTTGGTGCCAGCTTGCACAGCACCAGGGCTCCTGCCTCTCATAGAGAATTGTGTCCCCTCTCCACTATGTGGCACAGCACATTGAGTTCAACAATGTTCTATCAGACTGACGCTGCCGTAACACTGCATATCTTCACCCAGGAGGGGCGACAGCCCTAAGCCTCTTGTGTGGCAAAATAAAATCCAAGTTTCAGTGCTAAAAAGGCCCTGCTTTTCTGAAGCGAACCCCTTCAGAGGTCACACAAGAATTTAAAAGAGAATTTCTAGACCACAAGTTTCAGTGTGGAGAGCTGCAGGCTTAGAGAATTGCAGGGATGTTTGAAGCCCTGCCCACAGTTCCAGGAAACACCCTTTGTATATGAGCTCCTTTCCCACACAAATGTGAGAAGGAGGCTATGACCCTGGAAATTGAACACAGGGAAACAGAAACTCCGCCAAAACTATTCTTGCATTGACATTAGACACAAAAACACCCATATAAGCTTGATTTGCTGTCATAGTCAAATAAAATAATAGCATGTAAGCATTTCAAAGAGATTCCACTGACATTCTCACTTGTGATTCTGACAACAAGCCTGTAAGTAAGTAAGAAAGGCAGGCGTCACAGCTCCTAAGTGACAGATGAGGAAATCAGCCTTGCAGAGGTTAAGTGATCTGAACAAGGTCAGACAGCTAGTTGGTGCAAAGTGGGGCCCTGAACCCAGATCTTCTGACTCTTGGTCAAGAGCTCTTTTCATTCCGCCCTGCCTCCTCTCTTACTGTATCAGAAAAGGGAACAGCCACCAACTTCCTGTGCTGACCCTAGACCAGGGCTTCTTGATCGCAGCACACTTGACATTTCGGGCTGGGTAATTTTTTATTATGAGAGGCTGTCCAGTGCATTGAAGGGTGTTTGGCAGGATCACTGGGCTCTACCCACTAATGCCAGTAGAACTCCCCTTGCCCCCTGTTTTGACAACCAAAACTATCTCCAGGTGTTGCCATGTTGCCAAATGCCCCAAGGTGGGGGGAGGTAACAGCAGAGCAAACTCACCCCTCAGTTGAAATCCACTGCCCTAAATGATGCCTGAGAATGCTGTCCACGTGTTTGAGAAAGCAGCAGTCATTATGTTAGTTCTGTAAAAGGAGAAACAAAATCGAAAGAGGAACTTGTGCTGATACCAGTGAGTCTGGGACCATGAAAGTTGGCCATGAGAGACAGAATTGTGCAGCACCAGGGAGTTATCTAAAAAGTTCTCTTCTGGGCCACCCTCTGAACTTAACCTTTTGTGTTCTCACTGCACTCCTTCAGGCTCAGTCAACTCTGCAAAATCCAACCCACTTTCCAAGGAAACATTTCTGGAAGGTAACATGGAATTAGTTAATGTGCTAAGAGGCAGAATAGAGGAGTTAAGATGCAGGTTCTGCACATACAACAATGTGAATGAACCTCACTTAGTGTTGGGCGAGAAGAGCCAGGCCCAAGGGAGCACCTATTGTATGAATCTACTGACTCGAAGTTCAAGAGCAGGCAAAACTAATCTCCGGTGATGGAAGTCAGAACAGTTACATCTGGTGGTGGTGTTGCCTGGAGACACGTTTCAGAGACTAGAAATGCTGTCTGCCTTGATCTTGGTGGTGGCTACACTGGTTGTAAACATAACAGATATAACACTCACAGAGCTATACACAGGATTCATCACCGAGAAAGAAAGAGAAAGAAAGGAAAGAAAAGAAAGAGAGAGAGAGAGAAAGAAAGAGAGAGAGAGAAAGAAAGAAAGAGAGAAAGAAAGAAAGAAAGAGAGAGAGAAAGAGAGAGAGAGAGAAAGAAAGAGAGAAAGAAAGAAAAGGAAAGAAAGAAAGAAAGAAAGAGAGAAAGAGAGAAAGAAAGAAAGAAAGAGAGAGAGAGAAAGAAAGAAAGAGAGAAAGAAAGAAAAGAAAGAAAAGAAAGGAATGTTGACTGTAGAACCAAATTGTCTGGGTTCAAATTTCATCCCTGAAGATGACTCTGGTTACCTTAGAGCATTTTGTGGGAAGTTAATAAACTACACAGGGCATACAGGAAGTGCTCAATAAGTATTATAATTAAAAGAACTATACTTCAGCTGGGTGCGGTGGCTCACGCCTGTAATTCCAGCACTTCGGGAGGCCAAGGCGGGCAGATCACTAGGTCAGGAGATTGAGACCATCCTGACTAATACAGTGAAACCCTGTCTCTACTAAAAATACCAAAAAGTTAGCCGGGCATGGGGGCGGGTGCCTGTAGTCCCAGGTACTCGGGAAGCTGAGGCAGGAGAATGGTGTGAACCCGGGAGGCAGAGCTTGCAGTGAGCACAGATTGTGCCATTGTACTCCAGCCTGGGCGACAGAGTGAGACTCCGTCTCAAAAAAAATAGAACTACACTTCTAGCCAGCCAGGCAAAGTGAAGGATTAAGAGAGCTACTCTGAATTTCTCTGCTGCCCCCTCCGCCTCACCTCCCATGCATTGAACAGAGTGTATATGTAAGTCCTCCCACCACAACCATCAAGACAGGCACATCTGCCCTTTTTCTCTGTCTTCTTCAGTTCCTTCCGGGTTCTCTCTGGAGGCTTGCTTAGGAGCTGCCCCTGTTTGCAGAGCTCTTCATCAATAGACTGAGTATTTACAGAATAGCGCAGTTTTGATTAAACAGTTCATTTCACTGGAGACTGGGGTGGTGTATTGTGTCTCTGGAGTTATTCTTGGCATCAGCAGCCCTTGCTCTTAGCATCCATTTCTTTACATTTTTAGGTGGTGCATAAGAAGAACTGCAGTGAAACAGATCAGATCGGGGGCAGGTGGGATTTCCTTTTACCTTTCCCCCGCTAGTTCTTGGTGGATTTATCCCATTATCTTTGCTGCTATTTGCTCCTTGCTATCTTTTATTCTTCTCTTTTGAAACTGGCTGAGTCAGAAGGAAATAAACAAATGCAAGAGTGTGTGGAAAGAGCATTAGATGGCATGTCCAGCAACTCGGACTCTACATCCAGCATCTAGTTATGTGACTGATTGATGTGTGTTTTAGCTTTTTGGCACCTCAGGTTTTGGGCTGTTTTTTGGTTTTGTTTTTAATCTGTTAAATGAAGTCATTGGTCTAGATTTTTGGTCTCTGAATGTGTGTCAGCCATGGAAACCTTCCCACAAACAGACTCTTCAAGCAGAAAATGATAAAACCTAAAATCAACTTTGGGATGAAACCAGGTGGGCGGGCAGTCAGGAACCCACCCTTTCAACCTCTGTGTCCTCTCCCATCTCCCATAGCAGCCCCCAAAGTAGTTCCACAAGATCCTTGGCCTTGGGATCCTAAAGCACAATGTCTAAACCATTAGATGTGCCTATTTAGAAACTCCTTTCCTGCTCTTAAAGTGCTCAGCCCTCTCCCCTACACATAAATTTAGCCTTGCCTCCATGAGAGCAGCGAGGACTAGCCTTCGAAACCCCAGCACACAGAGGTGAGTGTGAGCCCAGCTCTACAGTATACAAGCCCATTGGAAAGCTGCCCCAGACAGAATTTCCTCAGTTGTGTCCTATGGACCATCAGTGCCAGAAATGCTTGGCCAAAAAAGGAAATACGGAGGGTGAGGGCGGCTTGCTTCAAAGTAATTGAGGTTGAGAGCCACTGCATATCATCTGCCCCTACTAGAGATTAAATTCACAGTAGCTTCTTTTCTTGGACCAGCAGGAAGCCTGATTAATGTTGCTTAATACAACATTTCCCAAATTTATTTGACCACAAAACTCCTTTTTCCCCATAACTCCTATTAATATCACAAGAAACAGTCTGAGATCAGAAAAGGCAATTTTTAGAGACTGAGTTATAAGGCTCGAAATAAATGAGGAATTCTAGAAAAGGAAGGGAAGAGGGACAAGGACCCTGGTTTGGGGTCTCCATGAGGGCGAAACAAGGACCATCCATGATTCCAAAGAAGATCCAGATCTTGCTTGTTGTCTGTTGGTGCCTTTCTATCAGCTCATTCCTAGGGGGCAGACAGAGGCAGGAGGTGCTGGGTTGGTGGCCAGTGGCTCCTGACCACAGGAAGGGTACTGTGGGTGTAAGAAGTGAAGCAGGGCACGTCCCTGCCTCTGTTCTCCCCTTCCTTCTGGCATTGGCTCACTGTGACAAATCCTTCCCTAGGAAGGGCAGAAAATGAATTATCTGTTAAATCAATTCAACAGATAACCCACCTTTGTGCAGGCCTTGTGCTGGGACCACAAAGATGCGTAAGACACGCACACCTTAGAGCCCAGTCACGAAATGGAAAAGTAAACAGCCCCACCCTCGAGGTCTGAACAGGGGACTGGGGTGCACAGAGAGGGGCCCCTCCCCTGACCAGCTGTCAGGAGAACTGTTCACACATTCTGATTCCTCCAAGGTTGAGGGCTAAGGTGTAGGAAGAGGAGAGAGGTTCCAAGCAGAAGGAATTGCAGGAGCAAAGGCACAGAGGCACCCCATCCTGCGAGCAGCTATGGCCGGAGCCGCGTGTCGCGGGATGGAGAGGGTGTGAACAGAGGGGACTGGAAGCGGATCCTCCCAGGAAGCAGTTGCAGGCGTTCATGCTGCAGTGAGTTGCTGATAGTAGGAGGGGAAGAAAGAGGAAGGGGGTGTGGAAGATGACTCAGTAGGGGTGAGCCAGTGCCTGGAAGAGAGGAATGTGTGAGCAGAATGAGGAAGTTAGAAAAGCTGGTTGGAGGTAGGAGGTGGAAAGACAAGTTCAGCCCTCAACAAGTTAAGCAGGTTATGTAAGAAGTCCAGGCATGGATGACGATGATCATAATCATGATGGGGACGATGACAAAGATGACTAGGAACTCTCTGTCATCTCTCTCTCTCTCTGTCTCTCACTATCTCTCTCTCTCTCTCTCTCCTTCCTGGTTGCGGGAGTTTGCAGGGAGGCAGGAGATTGTGAAGAACAATAATCAGAAGAGAGTTTGTGTGTTCATCAAAAAACAGGTAGAGTTGGCGCTAGCTTCTCCATCCATCCCTGACACCCCAGCCCCATTCATCATTAAGCAGAAGACAGGCTGGGTTGGCCCAACTTGGTCCTGTACCCCCACCACCCCAGAACCCCGCTGGTCCATAGTGAGGATCCCTTCTCCTTGACCCTCCTCCTTCCCTGTGACTCGCCTAAGCCTGATCCTACACCTCCTATCCCAGCCACTGCCTCAGCCTCCTCCACCCCCAGCTTGGGATGAGCCACCTCCCTGGCTGGGTAGCATGGGATGAGCCATCTCCCTGCAGAGGCAGAGAACCAGTGACACTACACACAAACCAAGGCCATGCTGCAAACAGAACAGCAAGGCACCTCCTCTTAGGATGCATTATATTCAGGGTAGATGTTGAATTCTAGTAACACATTCCCTGGGGTGTTTTCAAATCCAAACACACTGGAGCCTTGTTCCAGCCTCCCTGTGGGCGAAGGCCCCCGGGCTCACCTCCAGCCTCAGGCTGGCTCTGACTGCTGCCCTGGTTCCATCCTGGCAAGCGGAACTGAACAGGCCCGACTCCACAGCCCCCAGCGCTGCCGGCTGCAAGCTCTGCTGACTCCAGCCTCAGGCCCCTGCTTACCTGCTTCTAAATCCACATGCTCCTGCTCCTTCCCGCCCCTGCTGGCCTTTCAGAATGCCACTTCTTTCTGCCAAGCTCAGCCATTGCTACGGCCCAGCCCCATCTTTATTGATTTCGGGGCTCTGTCCCCTTGCAGAGCCCGTCTCATTGCCACCCACATCTGGGACAGCAAAAGACTCCTCAATTTCCTCCAAGAGTTCAGTTTCTTCCAAAAAGCTTGGCACATCTTAGCTGCCAGTGTGAACTGTGAGCTCCCAGAGATGCCCGTGGCACTTTCCAACATTCGTCACTTTTGACACATCTAAAATATCCTAGCTCCCAGAGCTGCATGAGCACCAGCCCAGATGGACTGGCTGCTGGGGAAGCATCGGTCTCTCCAGGGCTTCTGAGAAGCCTTGGGGCAGGAGGGGGATGTCTGACAAAGCTTCCTAACTAAGGAGCCCCACTTCCTCTCGCTTTGGGCACCCCTGCCAAATGAGCGGGCACCTCCATGTTCCAGCAGCCCTTGCTGCCCGGCTTCCAAGCTCCAAGCCAACTTCCTTCCACAGAATTCTCTGCACCTTGGTTCCCGGTGGCTCCAAGTACTTTGCCATCTGCCGAGTCAGTTCTGCCAGAGAGGAAGCAGCCGATGTGGGGAGTTCTCTGTGGGAGCCACCTTTCCTCTCTCAGGTCACCTTTACTCTCAGAAGGAAAATGACCCCCTGACCTATTAAATAGCTGAAATCAAGGGCTACTAGGGCCCAGGTAGGTGAAGGTGCAGCTAAAGGCATGAAGGTCAGCATCTAGCTAGGCAGTCAGGTCAGCCAAGAAGACAGGTGAGGTGAGTGGACCCTTTGGCCCCACAGTCAGAGAGTGAGAGAGCTACTCCCAGAGTTCTCTGGGGCATGAAGGGGCTGCAGGGGTAGGTGAACGGCATCCAGAGAAATAGACATCATGGAAAGTGCAAGCAGGAAACAAGCTGGGATCTTTTTTTTTATTTAAAATTATTTTTCAGGCCAGGCACAGAGGTTCACGCCTATGATCCCAACATTTTGGGAGCCCAAGGCAGGAGGATCACTTGAGGCCAGGAGTTTGAGACCAACTTGAGCAACACAATGAGGCCCTGTCTCTATGGGAAAAAAATAATAATAATTAGCTAGTGGAGGGGGCTAGTGGCATATGCCTGGGATCCCAGCTAGTTGAGAAGCTGAGGAGGGAGGATCGCGTGAGTCCAGGCATTCAAGGCTGCAGTGAGCTATGATCACTGCGCTCCAGCCCAGGCAACAGAGCCAGACCTTGTCTCTAAAAATATAAAGAAATAAAAGAAAAGAAATTATTTTAAGGAAGTAAATACTCGCAGGGCTCATAAATTAAAAGAATATAAAATAGAATAGATTTGCA